AGCAGCAAAAAAAAAAAAAAAAAAAAGACGAGCGGCAGCACTTCGGCGGCAGTTCCTCCCTCTCGTCCTCTTCGGCGGCAATTTGGCGGCAGCTCAAAGAGGAAGAGAGGGAATGAGGGACCTGCCGCCGAAGACCCGGACGTGCCGCCCTGCTACCGGATGGAGTGCCGCCCCTTTGAATTGGCCACCCCAAGCACCTGCTTCCTACGCTGGTACCTGGAGCTGGCCCTGGTGGTGGTGCAGGGGAGGGACTTGGGGGGGGATAAGTGGGACAGGAGTGGGGTCTCGGGGAAGAGGTGGGGCACGGGATGGACTTTGGGGGAAATAGGTGGGCTGGGATGGGGCCTCAGGGGGAAGAGATGGGGCATGGGAGGGGTTTTTGGGGGGATAGGCGGGGCAGGAGTGGGGCCTCAGAGGGAAGAGATGGAGCAGGGGAGGTTCCAGCAGCCCTGCTGGAGTGTCTGGTTTTTAAATGTTACCAAGTTGGCAACCCTATGCCTTAGCTGTAATGTTGGTACAGTGATTTGGAGAGGTAAAGCACCACATAAGTGCTAAATAGTATTAGTCGCATATGCTCGTGTTCCCATGGGAGCTGCTAATGCGCAGCCATTTTGTGATGACATCAAAGAGGAACTGGATTTGTAATTACACTACTCCTTCCTGTAAGCCAGGAAACATTTGGTTTGATTGGTCATGTGGGTCTTTTATGACCCAAATCATAGCGTCCTTACTTGGGCACCATAAAAAAAAAAGTCCCACATGTATGTGTTTAGCATTCAAGCATATAAGTCATCCTCTTCAGTGGGAACTGAAGCATGTGTGTTTGCAGGAGCCGGCCTCATGCGAATTGGCTGTCCACAGTTTTTTAACCTTTCATCTCAGCAATATAAAAGCGAATGTGGAGGAAAGGAAAATGAAAACACTAATCCAGCTGCACTGTACTTCCTTTTGTTGTAGAGCCTCTAGTAGGCCATTGGAGGATAGCTGTGATGGGATTCTGCTTGCCACAGCCCTTCTCTCCCCCACCTTGTCCCTCCCTTTCCTGCCATGATCCTGATGCCTCCACCGGCTTCACGCCAGCACGCTGTTCCTCTAGGCCAGGGAATTTTCTGATGGCCACTTACAGCCGGATGCTGGCTCCTTTGTGGCACCCGAGTGAGGCAAAGGGCTTTGAGCTCAGTAATGGCTCTGGCTTCATTAAATGCTTTTTTGATCCTCATTTGTCACCCCCTTGCCGGAGTTCATCCCAAGGTTGTTCGTAAGATTGTCCATGTAGACAATCTTGACTTGAGGGGAGACCCATGTGAGGAGATCTTTCTTTCTCTTAGAAAATCTAGGCAAAGAACTACAGTAAAGATGGCTCCATGTTTGCTAACTTGCTGTCCAGCCCCTTAAAATTTATGGAGTTTCCTTTTTTTATAAAAAAAAAATGTGCCTATCATAGAGTACATTTTTAAATACCATTTTAAAATATTTTCTGGTAAATTAAAGTGGTGACATGTTTGTAGGGTTCATTGTTAATTTCATTTCCTTTTGCTCAGCCAGCCAGCCAAACTGCCAAGTCATTAATCTTTGTTTAAAAGACGCTCCTTTGCTGAACAATCATGAATGATCTTGATAGATTTGTCAGGCAAATGAATGATAATCATTTGCTGATAGACACAAGCCTAGGCGGGACGATAAATAAGAAAATACGCATTGGCATCATTAATAATGTCTGCTGCCAATGGACTTGTATATCAATTACAATTCTGAATGCAATGCAGTCTTGTTAGGCTATTGCCATTTATCACAGGCGCTGAGCAACACGGATGTATGAGGCCTTGCAATGCAGACCAGTTATTCGGTGAGAAATGCTGGCCTGGAAGATAACAGCTTTACCCATTCGCGGGTGGATCTGTGTGTATTTTTCATCACTCCTTTTTTGCCACCCACCCTTTCCTATGGCACCTGAACATGTTACATACAAAGGTCCAATTGTATTATTCTCTAACCTGGAGCCGTTCGCTGTTAAAGTGTTTCTGAAGCACCCACAGGCTTCATCCAGGCACCATTCTGAAAAACCACAACTGCTTGGGCCAGATCCATGACTGGTGTAAATCCACATAGCTCCTTTGATGGTAGAAGAGCTTTACCAATTTGCACCAGCTGAGCTACCGGCACCTAGGTAAAAATAACTCAGCTCTCAGTATTTGCAAACACACGGTCTTGTGTGCTAGCCCCGCCGTGTAGAGCACAAAAAGCTCCCACCAGTGTCTGCCCCAGAAGTGTAAGCGCTCAGACGGCTTCATCTGTCACAGCACAAAAGCATCTCTACTTTCTTGGCCATACAATGTTCTGAGAGGCAGAACTCCTCCCTGTCGGAATGTCACCGGGGCTGGTGGTGAGTCTGAGAATCTCTATTGCTTCCCAATTGTATTTATTCCCGCCTCATCGTCATGACACCGGTAAAAGACGTGCTTGGGAACTGCCTTTTACAAACCTATCACACGCTCTCTTAAATTGCACAAGTCTTTCTCCATTCATCGTTGACGCCTTATGTGGTCATATCTGAATCACGGCCATGTGACCTTGCCTTTGTCGGAGCTCGTGCTAGGGCCAGTACTCTATGTACCAGCCCCATAGAAACCAGATAAGGTAGGAAAAGAAAACACACCATTGCACGGCAATGCTGACACTTGTAAGCATGGCATGTTCCATCCAGCTCCTGCTAAGACTGAGTGGGATAGCACGGGCTTATTGGCACCAGTGGCAGCGTCCCTGGCCCTCACTGCCATAACACAGAGAGACCTGGCACTCAGATGCTAGGAGGCCATCACAATGCTAGATGAGTCCCAGGGCGGCTGGTCCTGATTCCTCAGTGGGAATTCTGGCTGCGCAGGTGCCCAGTGAGCGGGAAAGCCCCTACGTGACCATTCCACAGAGCAAGCATTGCACACGGGCTCACCAGCTGCAGCTAAATATGCTCATTATAATAGGAAAAGCACAGCCCTAGCCCACCTGTCTGTGAGAAGCATGGCAGCCCAGGAGACCGTCTGGCCCTGAGTCTGGTTATATCACTGGTTGCGGAATGGTTAGCTGTGAGGCCGGATAAGTCGCTTCATTCACCAGTACAGTGCTGACAGCAGCAGGAAACAGACACTCTAAAAACCCTCTTAATTTTTGAAGCACCATTATTTCCAATAGGACGTGTTGGTAATTAAATAACGACGCAGCCCCAGACAAGAGTGTGACCCTCCCCCTCCCTGGATACCAGCTGGCTGAGGGCCCCCCATACTGTAACTCACATCAGGCCTGACACATTCATTGCCCCAACAATATAGGTGAGTATTCGAATCAGACTCTGAGGATGAAAGTGTTGTAGGACGAGAGCCTGAGACATAAGGCCTGGTATGAGGCAGAACCTGCTCTCAGAATTGGGCAAGAACAGGGCTGATCATGTAGAAATACACATTCCTAAGAAGTGCTAGTCACAGCGTACTCATGCAAACACATCCCGATATCAAGTGGTACCAGAATATCCCGATATCAAGGATGGTACAAAAACATTCCCCAAGGATAACAGGCACACACTGACCTCTCCCAAAAGATAAGGTCAGGATGACAGTATGTAATAGAGATGTTTTGATTGAACCAACATGTACAATGTAATGGGTAAAAACTGCCACGTCGGGGACAGTAACTAATTATGTCAGAAGGGCAGTATGTAATTTGTTTGTATCAGAGTTTAAAGATGTCTCTCAGAGGGCATAGTTTTGTCTGGCACAGGAATGGAAAGTCCCGCCGTTCACTGAGCTGGTCCGTTGTTACAGGCATACATGTATTAGTGGTCCAGTAGAGTCTGCGGGATACTAGTACCGTGCTTCATTGACAATAAACCTGGCTGGGTGCCTTCATCCCTTAACGGATCTTGTGGTCATTGGGCGCTTCGCTCAAGGTCTGCTGTGCCAGTTGTCTGTGCAGGGCTGGGGCGGCACGCAGAGGGACCACACACGCACAGCCAAACATCTATCAACATCTAACCACAGAAGGTACTGATACTACTGCATTGCCATTGCCAAGAGCAGCAAGAGAAAGGCAGCTGCACATCAGCCAAAGACAATGAGGAGGAAGTGTCCTGGTTTTTCAATCGTACATGCCTATGTTTGGCACACACAAAACACCGCCAGAACTGAAACAAAAGGGAGCCCTGAAAACTGCAGAACTGTTTTATGGCTGTAATATTCCCTTTTCCGGTACTGAACATCCAATTTTTTCAAGCACTGATCAGCTGCTTAAGGCCAGGCTACAAAGCACCCAGTTGAAAGCAGGTAAACGGTTAGCTGCAGTTACTCATGGCTTAAAGGTGGAAGCACACAACAAATGATATGGAAACGCCGTTCCATGAATACAAGATGGCTGGCGTAACATGCACATTGTCCCACTGAGAGCTGACTGTGGTTTCTGTATCAGCAGTGGATACTGGAAGCAATAAGAAGACCGGAAAGGATTGTGCTACACTGACAAGAGAAGCCAAGGCATTAGCAATTAACAGTATGGTTGTGTTAAGAGCTACTCGGCAGACAATGAGAAAAAAAATGCCAAGTATGGGCAGTGATTTGGCACACGATAACCACACTTTGGCTGCATCGGGATGTGCATCACATTGGCTCAATCTAGTTGGACAAGCCCTTACACCGAGTGCTTTGATGAAACACGTGGTCGATTTACAAAAGTATTTTCATAATCAGCTGGAGCCTGGTTAAAAGCCTGTCAAGTTCTGTAACCCCCCCAAATCCCTGGTAACACGCAATGGAACAGTCAAACAACATGCCTGGAAACAGATGTTCAAAAATTGGCCACATTATCTCAGGATTACGAGTGATCAAGAGGCGGAATTTAAAGCTAGAGTGGTCAGTGTAATTAATAATCAAAGGATTTACCGATAAGCAAATAACTTGATCAGTCAATTCAATTCAGTTTCTGTGGCACTTGACATACTCTAAAAAGGACTCCTGGTGCATGAGACGGACGGTTGGATTTACTGATAAATGAAGATCTTGCCCCACATAAAGCAGACGTACCAAAGAGATTTCATGAGGCAATTACAAATGTTGGCTGACCTCCTTCATCCAAAATACGCAGGCAAGAAATGTGTCCTTGGAACAAGAAGAAATTGCGACTTTCTGCCATATTTACTTGCATTTAACACAGATGACGCACTGTAACCAAAATTGACGTTTTCACCCGCTATCAAGGAAAAAGTTTCCACTTTCACATGGTGGAAAAAATCTGAAAACGGCCGAGATTCCCTCTGACTTCACAGAACTGGTGGTGCAAGTCCACCAGTGTCCAACAAGTTCAGCAAGCATAGCATGGATCTTTTCAGACTGGATACCTCCATTCAAAACTGAGAAACAGGTTCAGGTTGTCCACAGCGCTGCATGCTTCGGATTGCTTAATGCTTCATGGCTACAACTCTGCGTTACTGTCACTGAATGTTTTTGACTTCGGGTTATATAATATTGAAAACAGACAGGTGTCATGGCCTGTATCACTTCCTGGAGAAAATACCAAACTAAGTTGTTTACAGACATTCTGACCCTATTAGAATTACATATATTAGTATTACGCTCACTGCAATTTTACTTGTTTATTTGTCCAACCCTACATTAATCTCCTAATCTAGTGCCTGATTTGACTCTGTAATGCAATTTGAATATGTAACTACGACTAAGTGTGATGTGTATGATGATAAAACAATTTTAAAAATAGAAAATATCATAAATTGGGCCCAACTAATTTTTCCCTAGGTGACAAAACCCCACGATTTTACCTGATAAAAACCCTCTCTGGTAAATACGATATTCCTGCCCGCTAGGTTTGGTCTTCTAGATTGTGAGCTCTCTGGGGCAGGGAATTCCATTTACTGTGTTCATGGCCCCTAGAACAATGTGGCCCTGACCTGCTTGACGTCTCTAAGCATTACTGCGATATTCTAAATCAAAGCCAAGCCAGCCGTGGACTGTCTGCAGCCCTGTCTTCAGCCAAAGTAACCCCACAGAAAGACATTAATAGCTAGTAGGATTATAGCATTAATGTTGCAAAGAGTCTTTGATAGGGGCTTTTCCTCAATGCTGGTGAGTTTCCTTTCCAGGACTGCTTTCTCTTCCTTGGTCAGCGTGGGTCCTGGGCTGCTGGAGATCCCGCAAAACCAGAAGTATAACTTCTTCCAGCAAGGAGAGCTCGCTGCTGCAGGAAATACATACAGAGAGGGGGAATTAGTCCCATATTCTAAACGCTGGGGTATTCCACTCGCCTCACCTCTGTCCCACGCCTTAAATACACCCTGTCACCTGTCTGCACATCTCCCATGCAGCACTACTGCTTGAGGCATACGGGGTGAAAACCAGCCCCACTGAGCCACATCCTCCATGGAAGGGAACACGTCACCCTCTCAGCTCATGATAGGTCCAGGAACCAATGGCTGCAGCTCAGGAATGGCTCTGCGCAGGGGCTATGCCCTCCCACTTTTTACTGGCCGTAAATGCGAGTGACAGGGGGAGGGGCTGGAGAGGAGCGGGGGGCCAGTCTTGGGGAGAAGTGGCAGCGCGAGGGCAGGGTTTGGGGGAAATGGGTGGTGCGAGGGCAGGGGCTTGGGAGGTTGGGGCGGCGTGAGGGTGGGGCCTCAGGAGAAAGAGGCTGCAAGAGGGCAGGGTCTTGGGGGAAAGGGTGGGGCCTCCGGGGGAAGGGGCAGTGTGAGGGCGGGGCCTTGGGAGAAAGAGGCTGAAAGAGGGCGGGTCTTGGGGGGATGGGTGGCACAAGGGTGGGGCCTCAGGGGGAAGGGGCAGTGTGAGGGCAGGGCCTTGAGGGAAGGGGTGGTGTGAAGGCAGGGCCTCTATGGAAGGGGCAACGTGAGGGTGGGGACCCAGGGAGGAAGGGGCAGCATAAGGGGGTGGGGTCACAGTTTAGGTGCCCATGGACCCCCCCACACACTTTTAGGGACATTCCGGCACCCCTGGCGCTGCATTAAAGGATTCACCCCAACCAGAGGAATTAATAGTCCAATAATGACCATGACCATGGTTAAAGTTACTCTCTTCTAAGAGCCCAGAGCAAAAGCCAGACCTCCTTGTTGGTGCTGCAGAGGAAGTGAACGGGTAAGCTGGTTAACCAGCACGGCCCAGTCCACCCTCACAGCACAACTAAGCTAGCTGAAACCCAGATGAAAGAACGGTTAAAATAGCACGTTACATTAGTAGCACTTGATATGTTCCAAGTGCTGGGCAAGCATGAATCAGTCCTTGCTCCTGGCTGGAGATAGCCAAGTGAGTATAACGTTGTACAGAAACTGAGCTGCAAAGAGGTTAGGTGATTTGCCAAAGTGGCTGCTGATTTTCCACACTACGATTTTGGATGCGCCGCTTGAACCATTTCCGGAAGCTCCGTGTATCCATATCTCCCAGAATCTGGTCTACAGACACTCAGCTACTTGGACAATCAGGCATAATGAATCTCAACCTGAGCACCCAAAACCAGTCACTTTGGAAAATAGTTGTCCTAAATCAGTGGCCCAGCTACAATTAGGATTGAGATGTTCCTGGATCCCAGCCCTGCACTCAGGCCACAAATCCAACCTGCCTTACTTTGCCCAGGCATTCTTAAAATGTAACTAAAAAAGACAAAGAAAATCTGTCCTCCAAAGAGGTTAAATCATCCCAGTCGATTGACATATGAAGCATTTGTTGTTTAATGAACAAAAACCCTTCTTATTTCTCCACTGCCCAACTTCCACCAAGCTCCACAAAACTTGTATGTCTCTGACACAGAACTCATGGATTGTTTATCAGGAGTGAAGCGCTGTGTGAATTATGCCTTTTAATTGTCACTGGCTGTTCCTTCCACGCTTTGAAAGTTAGCATATCATAAAAGCTTGAAAAAACATGTTACCCAAACCTCATTAAACTGTTGTATAAGCTGTTCTGCATTTCCTTTCCCATCATTGCTAATTACCAAATTACCAAGACGTCAGGCTATAAAAAGATGAGCTGGGTCAGGTATAATAAGAATTGATAAGAAACAACATCAGCACCCGGAACAGCTACACTGAACTTGAATCCCTACGGCCTCCATTTCAAAAAAAATGGAGGAGAACTTTTGTTGTTGTTTCTCACCTCTTCATTCTGAGGCTGTGATGAGAATGAAGTCAAGCACAGACAGTCTAGACTAAGGAAATGTAGAAAATCTCACGAGAGCATTCCCATCTTGCGAGCTCTTCAGATTTGTGGACTCAGAAGGGTTAGGTTCAAAACGTGCACCTGAAATTTTGGATGGTTTTCCAAAGGAAACCTCTGACCATGCTGAGAAGGGGCTGGGGGCTATTTTCTTTCTAATAAACTAATAATTAGAAGTGTGCTAATGGAATTTGCTGGTACAGTTGGGAGGCCTTGTCAACACAGGGAGGATCGGAATATGAGACAGGAAGATCGGGATGACATTGAAGACTTGAGTAACAGAAATGGGATCAAGTATCAGAGGGGTAGCCGTGTTAGTCTGAATCTGTAAAAAGCAACAGAGGGTCCTGTGGCACCTTTGAGACTAACAGAAGTATTGGGAGCATAAGCTTTCGTGGGTAAGAAACTCACTTCTTCAGATGCAAGTAATGGAAATCTCCAGAGGCAGGTATAAATCAGTGTACAAAGTGCAAAGTTAGGGTCTAATAATAAGAATTTCTAATATAAACTAGGGGCTCATCAGTGGAAATGATAGAGGAGAAGACCAACCTGGGTATAGGGGTCGATCACAGGATGACTATGAGCCACTAATGTGATGCAGGTGCAAAAAAAGACCAATGCGATCCTAGGATGTACCTGGTAAGGCATTTCCAGTAGAGACAGGGCAGTATCAATGCCATTGTACAAGGCACTGGTAAGATCTCATTTGGAATGCCGTGCACCATACTGGTCACCCACGTTCAAGAAAGACTAATTCAAACAGCCACAGGTGCGGAGAAGAACTACTAGGATGATTGGGGAATGGAGGACCTATCTTATGAGAAGGGACTGAAAAAGCTTGGCTTTTATAGCCTGGCAAAAAGAAGACTGAAAGGGACTATGATTACTGTCTGTAAATACTAAGGAGGGTGAAGAGCTATTTAAGCTAAATAGTTGGTTAAACACTGAAACAAATTACCTTGTGGAATCTCTATCATTGGAGGCTTTTAACAGCAAGTTAGACAAACACCTGTCTGGGATGGTCTAGATCAGCAGTTCTCAACTGGGGGGGGGGGAAATGTGACCTATTTCAGGGGGCCACGTGACCCCACAGATGAAGCCTGGTGCCCCAAGTCCCGGCACCCCAAAAACTTCAACAAATTACCTAAAATAGCTTGTCTGCATCTAAAAATGTCCTGGCTTTAAAGTCCATATCGCAGGCCCTCTAGGACCTAAAAGCAGGTGCTTGGTTGGTCTATCTAGGTGCTTATCTGGCCCCCACCACTGGTATATCTCAGGATCTGCTGGGAAGCTTCTGCGTCCAGCTGGCCTGGCCGATGTAGGCAGTTAAAGCTGGGATACTTTTAAAGTCTAAAAAAGCTGTTGCTGACCCTGGCGCTGAGGCCGGGGCCATGTAGGAGAAGGAAATTCCACATGTAGGGGGAGAAGGAGGAACCATTTCTCTGGAAAGTTGATTTGCTTTTTGGTTTTAAATGGAAGCTCTCTGGAACTATACAGAGGGTTGGAATGTTAGACGAAACCCGAGGGGGAACGGGGTAGCAGGCAGAGTGCAGGTGCGGTGGTCAAAGATAAATTAATTTAGCATGTAGCTGTCACCTCCACAAACGTGGTATCGTTAGATCCATGGGCCGGATGCCATTGAAGTAATTCGAAGGATGCTGGTGGACCAGATCCCCTACGCCCACACGTGCACATATTTGGAAGACCCAGCTAACCTACCTCCATGTTCTTTGCTCCCTGAATCCGTGTTCTCCCAGGTCGGCTCATCCCCATCAGTCTCGCCCACTGGAGGATTTACCGCCGCCGACTCGCTCTTGTAGCTTACCAGGTCAATTGTGGGAGCTTTGCTGTGTCTAGTCCACCACGTCAGGCTAGCCAGCTGGATGCAGAACAAACAGGGAAAGCAATTTAAAGAGCTGACAGTTCATAGAACAAGACCAGTGTTGGTGACACGGCTGGAAACAGGAGCTGTGATTAGAATGGGGAGGGTTTGACCTCACAAAAATCTGTGTTGCTTTTTTCCAACGGTTCTTGTATTTTCCGTTGGCTGGTGCCATTTTAATCTTTTGGAGATTGGCACACCTCTCTGTGTGAAGGCTCCTCTCTTTGGGAAATTGCATGATCAGTACAGGTAGAGAGCTGGATTGGGGGCCCAAAAGATGTATGTGTTGAAGTTGCAGGCAGGGCCAGTAAACACAAACAGCTGGCTTGCCATAGAAATGCAAAGCGACAACGGCAGTATCCAGAACCTCACTCCTGCTGCTATGGAATGACGTTTCACAGTGAAACACCATCAAAGGAACCAAGCCCAAATCCTAGGCACAAAGGCCCAGAAGTTCAAGGTTACAGCAAAGGACCAACCAACGGAAGGAACAACAGCAGGCTAGGGCATGGCAGAGACAGGACCTTCAACCCCTCCCACACCCAGGGCACTGGGCCAAGACAGACCTTGACAACATCATGTTCATTCAGGGTTAGATTGTTCCAGCCCTCATTTGGGCATGCAGGAGAGAATGTCCCTCAATCCCCTGCATGGATTGTGACTCCAGCAGCAATATGCCCTGCTGTGATGGGGGTGGAGGGAGTGGAGCCCACCCTGGCCTCCCCCTCTTTCTTGCTGGCTATGTGCACTCCTCCACCAGCGCAAGGGGAAAGCATGCGGGAGGAAGTGGACTGCCTGAAACACAATCCACTCACTCCCAGCACTGTCCCTTATGCAAAGCAGATTATAAAGTTGCAGCCTGGTGTCACAGTTCAGGGCAACTTCACCTGTATTCCCCATGGTCCAGCAAAGGCGCCCACTCTAGGGTCCTCGGCTCCCCCACCATCACCTCTCTTTGGCAGAGACCTGAGTGGCTCTGTCTCTCCCTCCTGAACTGGACTTTTCCAAGCTGCACAGTTCCTTGTCTACACTGCACTATTCCCAGCAAGCAACACTAGCAAACCGGGCCAGCATCTGCACTTTGCTTTCTCTTCAAAGGCTTATGGCCAGCATACGTGCCCACAGTTGTAAGTTACCACGTAGCCTTTTGTAAGTAAGTAGATTTTATTCTTAAGGTAAAAGCATTACAGAGAAATCATATTAGAACAAACAAAAGAACCTACATGCATGCTAGAAAACGGATGAGCGATCGGCTCCCCCTCCAAGCCCCGGCAGGTATCAGTGCTTCCAACCCTTCCTTAAGGATTTGGGGTTCCCCGGCCCTTGGACAAAAGGTCCATTTGCTGGATCAGAAAGCAGGCCTGTGTCTGTTTAAATGCTGGCTATTTATCCACAAGTCTGTTGGCCTCTGGAGAATCCGGTTTGAACTAGTACAGGTGAGCCTCCCCAGGAGGAGGTCTCTCTCTCTGGAGGTGATACAACCAGGGCCAGCGCTTCCATTTAGGTGACCTAGGCGGTTGCCTAAGACACCAGGATTTTGGGGGGGGGGTGGCAATTCGGTGGTGGGAGGGTCCTTCCGCGCTCCGGGTCTTCGGCGGCAATTCTGCGG